CGTGTGTGTTCGACATCGATGGCAAAGAATCCAGAGTCTCGCTCACCCTGCTGCGGGCGCGCGTCGCGTGCTCGTCGTCGGCGTCGGACGTGTCCCTCCGCGGTGCGCGCAGCGGCGGCGACGGCGACTTCTGCGGAGACTGCAAGAGGCGTGTGTGTTCAATACAAGATGGTTTCGCCAAGAAAGTCAAGTATTTTTTGGGCAAATTTGAGACGGCCTTTCGAGGTACAGTTACCGGGGTCGCATGCAGCGCGCCGAGACGCCTCCAGCCGTGCCGGGTGAACTTTCCTACGTCTTATATGGGCTGAGAAAATCGATTTGGCGACTTTGGCGAGGGCCGTTACCACCCAAGGAGACCTCGGATTTTCGTTCACCCGGCGCCGATGGCTGCGTACGGCCGTGTGTAAGAAGGCTACGTCGAGCAAACCACCGAAATACCTGACCCAAAAAGCCCGGGACTGTCACCAAAAAGCTACAGTTGGCCCATATTTTTGAAAAATGGGCCGTTTCTTCTCTCTCTTTAAGAAAAGTGACCGTTTTTTTAGAAACTATGTGGTGTGTGTTTAAATAAAAAGGGTGTCTATATCTTTCGATCGCTGTAACTTTTGCAAAAGACGCTCTTTGGTTAAAGTAGAGCTCTGGCGGACTTTTCCTTGGGGTGCGTGCGCGGCCACCGGAAGCTCAGCCCAATGCCCACTTTAGTTTTGCCAAAAAAACGCGCAATGCAAAATCAATTTCTTGGCGAAACCATCTTGTAGGATTCCTAGACAGATTCACTTTTTCAAGCCTGGCTACTTTTCAAGCTGACCTCGCACTTTGCATAACGTCGCCTAAAAAACTTTAACGAGCAAGAACCAAGCCGACTGTGCTATGTGCATCTCTTGCTGACGCCAATGCGCCCAGCGCGCTCAGATCCTTCAGACTCGATGATGGAATTATACAAGTTCACTTTTTTCAAGCTACAATAGACAGCTTCACTTTTTTCAAGCAGCTTTTAAAGTCTGCATTTGCGTGTAAAGCTGCTCTAAAGGCTCTACTTTTCAAGCTGCGCTTTAAAGTAGCGCTTTAAAGCTGCTTTTAAAGCGCGGAAATGCTTTAAAAGCGCGGGAAGAGTTCGTTGGATGAGCATTGAGCGAACGTTAGATGAGCGTTAACCCGGCGCGAGCGCGCGGCGCGGGCGCGCCGCGCGGAGGGGGCGGGGCGCGGCCTCTGGCGGGCGGGGCGACGCCGATGGTGCCTGCGCCTCCGTCGAGGCGCGGGCCGGTCGCGGGGCCGACGTGCCCCGTCCCGCGCGCCATGTCACCTGGGTGGCCGAAGGAAGGCGCCCTTGACGCCGCTTCGCGCTCACGTTGAAGCGACAAAAGATATGTTGAAAAGTAGCTTGAAAAGTAGCTTGAAAAAAGTGAACTTGTCTAATTCCATCATCGAGTCTGAAGGATCTGAGCGCGCTGGGCGCATCGGCGTAAGCAGGAGATGCGCATAGCACAGTCGGCTTGGTTCTTGCTCGTTAAAGCGTTTTAGGCGACGTTATGCAAAGTGCGAGGTCAGCTTGAAAAGTAGCTTGAAAAAAGTGGAGCTGTCTAATGTGACAGAACGTCAGTCGCAGCTGTTTCAAAAACTTTCTGTTTCAAAAATGGATTTCGTTTTTTGGCTATTCTCAGAAAAAGTCGGGAAAAGTTCTCAACTTCCCGGCTACAGCACGCGCCCAACCCAAGGCGAATCGGAGGCCCCTCGCGGGATCGAGCGGGCCCGTAGGCATTGCATAGTTTGGTAAAAAAAAATGCAAGTGGCGCGTCTCCTGGTGAGATACGCCTCCAACTTTGACCCTTTGCACCGTAACTCGTCAGCGCGGGAGTATAAGGTGTATCCATCTTGGCCAGGATGGTAGCTATGAGCATAACGAGCATAACTGCTTATAATTGGTACACCTTATACTCGCGCGCTGACGAGTTACGATCTTCGAGACGCTTCTTGAAATCTGTAGAATAATTCCTATGAGAAAACCCGCTCGAGATAGGAAGAAAGGGTCTCTCCAAGCATTTTTGGGTTGTGAAGCGTTAAAGCGCCGGCACGGTGGGGCACCTCGGGTCTCTTTTCCCCCTCGACAGTCCGATGATGAGATGATAAGGCGTATACTTAAGACGTAAACTTCAGGCGGCGGCCGCGGCCACCGCGGCGGTCGCGCCGGCCTTCCTGGGCTTTTTCGCATACTTGCCGCGTCTCGCTTCTGCCGTGATACCGTCGATGAGGCTGGCGCTCTCCTTCAACACCGAGAGCCGTGAACATGAGCTTGTCGCGCTTCACGCGGTCGCCTAGGGTATCTTTGGAGGCACGCCGGGAAACCGCTCGCGGCTCCGTTTGCAATGTTGTGGCGGTCCAGAGTTTTCAACCATTCTCCCAGACGCAGGCGGTCGCGGATGCATGCGAATCACATTTTCATGCGGTTCATCATAGCGTGGATGCTCTCGAACGCGTCTTCGCAAAACAGCCCGAGGACGCGCCAGCACCGCACAAACCGCGGCACCTCGAACTCGACCATGTGCGTCTTGATCTGGCGGTTCGCGACGAGCTGGCGCAGCCGCCGCGGCACCGACTCGCACAGACCGCGCCTCGATTTCGTCGTTGGTCAGCACGCGGCATGCGCGCGCGAGGTGCATAAGCTCGCTTGGAGTGGTCCCAGAACAACCCTTTTTCTGAATCCTTTTAATTTCTCAAACGAAAACCGCTTTTTAGAGGCTTTGAAACCGCTGTGCAGTGCCAGTAGGATCGGCAGCCGACACAGGGCGGCATTCGCCTACTTCCACGGATTATGGATAGTTCGGTGTAGGGATTCCTATCTATAATCCCAGCAAGCAGCTTTCATAATCCCAGGAAGAGTGTTTCTATAATCCCAGCAAGCAGCTTTCATAATCCCAGCAAGGGCACCATGGCATAATCCCAGGAGGGCACCTTCATAATGCCCTGAAGAGGGTTTTAAGAGGAATTTATATAATCCCATAACGAACTTTTCATAATCCTGGGAAGCACGCAGTCCGTTCCGCTTTTTGAACCCTGTACAAGGGGGTATCGGCGATAAAGTCGACCTTAAGTGGCGCAAAGTTGTGCCTCCCAGAGGCCGCCTGCGGGGGTGGGCCTGGTCACTATGGGCCTCCCTGTCCCCCGGGTTGTCCGTGACATGATCAGCCTCGAGGAGGGCGCCTTGCAAGGGCGTGAACAAGCGTTTCCCCCAATATTTTGGACTTGATAAAATCATTATTTACCTCCTTACCTTGATTTTGAACTGATTTTGCCTCCGTATTGCGAAGGTTCGGGTCCGGGTGACCATCGCAGGATCGCAGGAATCGAAATTCTGGCTATGTGACGGGGCGGGTCCATACGTACTGGGGTGGTATTTGACCGATCCTATAAGATTGCCGCGAATGGTGTTTCACACGAGCCAAAACATACGTTCAGGTTCTTAGTTGGAGCGTTTTTAACAAACAATTTCTATAGGATCGGGCATCATGGGACTCAGCGCGACGTCCACTATCACTCCTAACAGAGCCAAACTGACCAACAGGGAGCTTGGAAATATAATTTGTTCAGAAAAAGGGAATCCCGTTGCTCCGATAGAGCAGAATGTGTTCAGAAAAAGGTTGATTCTAATTGGGGAATTTCCGGGAAAGCCGATTCTAATTGGGGTGGAACTTCCTATATGGTCAAGAACATCTGAAGCTTTCAAAAGCCTGGGACCCAGCAGGCGACTCTGCTGGACACCGACGACCGCTGGGCACCGACGAAATGACCGCGGCCGGAGACGTGCGCCGTGGGATCGTCCGGCCTGAGGCTCGAGGGCCAAAAAGTCGGATTCTGGGTCCCTACTTCCGAGTGCCCCGGCCGTTCGCATCGCTGCTCATAAAATCGCACACGCAGCCGTCCGCTTCGTCGGGGTCTGCTCGATCGTAAGCGTGCGCGGCAAAAAGTTGGATTGTCGATCCAGACGGACTTTCTAAGCGAGGGCAGCAAGTTGGCAGGTTTGCTCGTTGCATCAATAGGGGCTTTCTCCGCACGCGCGGAGTCCGCCGAGGTCGGGAGTGGCGCGTTCGACGCGCGGCGTCGTAGGCTATATAATCTGTACCAAAACTTTACCGGCGTCGCGCGCGCGCGCCGCGCGCACTGTGCGAAAAAGCAAGGGGAAAGTTGACAAAAAGGGATCATAACTCTTTATCGGGACACATTATTTTCACTTTCCCCGACCCTATATGTTAACTTTCCCCTAGCTTTTTCGCACAGTGCGCTCGGCGCACGCGCGCGACGCCGGTAAACTTCCGGTACAGGTTGTAGCCCACGACGCCGCGCGTCGAACGCGCCACTCCCAACCTCGGGGGACTCCGCGCGCGCTAAGAAAATCCTTAGTGATGCAACGAGCAATTCTGGGACCGGAAATGCCCCTGCTTTAAAAATTCCTCTGGATCGCCGAAAGAAAATTAACACGGCGATCAACAAAAATATTTTCCGTATCCTGGACTCGAACCGGAGTCTCGACCGTACTTTTCATTCTGAGTCAAGACTAAGAATGATTGAGAGGGTCGTATGATGACCACCTACACCAATTCGGAATGTTGACCGAAGCCGAGTAGCAGTAATGATTTCGCTCGTGACCGAAATCATACAGAACTATCTTAAATAGTGCGATAGTAACCTCTCCATTGTTTATATACCTTAGGATACACTTCTACCGAGTCCCCAATGGGGTTCGCTTCCAAGCGCTTGGTTCTCTCGGCCAAACCCGGAGCCGCCGACGCAGCCGGCGTGCCCACGAAGTGGCCTGCGTCGGCATGCCCACGAAGTGGCTGCGGCCACCACCAGACCTCGATCTGGAGGCACCGCGATTTGTTGGATTGATTGAGACAAGTGCGGCCAGTTTTTCGAGGGGTGAAGGGCTTTTAAAGAAACGCTGGCGACGTCGCGGCGCATGACCGATTCAGCGATTGGCAGTTGATACGATCGCCATTGGGAATAGAGGTCGAGCAGGAGCCTCATTGGAATCATCATAGAAGAAGAAGGTGGTCGCGGGTTCGAATCTGGTCGGCCGCAAATTAAGCGATTAGTTTAAATGATTTTAATTATTTACGTGGGCATAGCAATGGGATTTGTCTGTATCCTTCGCTCAGAGTCAGGTCCTCCGTGTGCCTCCGGCGCTGGCCGTTCTCGAGGTGTACGGCCAACGGCTCGCACGGTGAGTACTGAGCGTGGGTGTGACCCCCGGTGGGACGGTGGTAGGCCTCGGTCGCGCGGACGTAGCGGCCGTTGATGTAGTTGTCGATCTCGTTGACGTTCTGTCGATGGGCGGGCGCGTCGTTGGCGTCGATCTGGTACGTTGCGCAGTCGTGGCCCTTAAAGGCGTACTTGTGGATGTACTTGATCGACCTCACAGAGTTGCATAACTCGACGTTGATGTGGCAGTCGTACTCCGCCTCGGCCCTGAGCAGGTCCTCGTACTCTTGGGGCGCGTGCTCGCCCTTGACGTCGACGCCGCCGCTGATCAAGGCATTGCGCGCGTCTGCGGCGGCCGCGGATTCCGCTTCCATGATCGCAGCGTGCGCGTCTTCGAGCGCGAGCAAGTCTCATTCTCCATGTGTCTCGCCAGACGTTTTTTATTTGTTCAAATATTGTGAGTGGAGATATAGAAATTCGTGCAAATATTGAAAATGAAAGTATAGAAATTCGTGCTGAATGTTTGAAGGAAGCAAACAAACAAACAAATCTCACAAAAAAAAACCATGAACCGAATCGAACCCTAAACCGATAATTGTGAAGAGGTGATGAATCCTTCACAGGCGCGCCATGGGTCGCTGAAGTAAATTAATTAAAAAGTATTACTCAGATTCATAATCGAACCCCAGATTTAAGACTGTAAAGTGGTTATGGGCATCGTAACAATAGACTGTGAAAAGTTCACCATCTTTGCAGTCGACGTTGATCAGACGTCGATAGATTGCTGATGTAAGCAGATCCGTTCTTTGGTATATAAACACTTGTACATGGGGCCCGATCTAGGAGAAGGGCGGTACAGACCCTAATCTCCTCCGGGCGCCGAGGGGAGACCCCCCGTACCCCTCAGCTCTGGTGGACTCATTGTCATTGCTCGTCCACGCCCTGATCTTCCACGACGCGCGTCGCGTAAGCCACCCCCCCGTCGCTTCGCTTCCGAGGAGGGCGGTACAGACCCTAATCTCCTCCGGGCGCCGGGGGGAGACCCCCCGGACCCCCCGTCGCTTCGCTCCCGAAGAGGGCGGTACAGTTCCGAATCGCTAAAATATGGAGCCCATAAGCGGGAACAAACACTAGCCGAATATATAGGAAGTTCCACCCCCCAATTAGAATCGGCTTTCCCGGAAATCCCCCAATTAGAATCAACCTTTTTCTGAACGTATTCTGCTCTATCGGAGCAACGGGATTCCCTTTTTCAGAACAAATTATATTTCCAAGCTCCCTGATTGGTCAGAAACGATTCTAATTGGGGATTATTCTAATTGGGGGTGGAACTTCCTAGTTAGGAATTCCTAGGAAGTTCCACCCCCAATTAGAATCCAGGCTCTTGCGCCCCCCTCTTTGGATTAAATTTCATGGTGAGATTGATGAAAAAAATGAGAGGGGTCCTCCGAACCTTTCCAATATCAATCCATCCGTTAAATTTTCGGAGGAGGCGGGCGCAAGAGCCTGAATTAGAATCGGCTTTCCCGGAAATCCCCCAATTAGAATCAACCTTTTTCTGAACATATTCTGCTCTATCGGAGCAGCGGGATTCCCTTTTTCAGAACATATTATATTTTCAAGCTCCCTGATTGGTCAGAAACGATTCTAATTGGGGATGGAACTTCCTTGTTAGAATAATCCCCAATTAGAATCGTTTCTGACCAATCAGGGAGCTTGGAAATATAATATGTTCTGAAAAAGGGAATCCCGTTGCTCCGATAGAGCAGAATATGTTCAGAAAAAGGTTGATTCTAATCGGGGGATTTCCGGGAAAGCCGATTCTAATTGGGGGTGGAACTTCCTAAGGCCGCTTAAAGCTTTATTACAAGAGCGCGCCGGAGGCACACGGAGGACCCGACTTCGAGCGAAGG